ACGTTCCTGCAACCGGAATGCCGTAGCGTGTCTGACACTAAGCGCGTTCATATTATTCAGCTGTATGGCCAATGTGACAAACGCCGCCAAGACAGATCGAAGATACAACACTCTAAACGCTGGAAAGCGACCCGTCAGCGACCGTTAAGTGCTTCAATTGGTGAATAACTTCCACAAAACTGGGAGTGTGTGCGACGCCAGAATACCCGGGCGGCCTACCACTAGTACTGCGGATTTTGCAGCTTGTACCGTTGTACATGAATTATCTGAGAGGGCAGATCTGCGCATACGTAGAATCGCCCAACATTGTGACACCACCCGCTACGCGGTTTAGAAGCTTTTGAAAAAACGCGACCTACGACGGTTTCGTACACTCCAGGTTCAAGTATTGAATCCAAACGATCCGAATAAACGGAATATATTTTGCCTTTGGTTTTTGGATCACATGTGCATTAACTCCGTAAGGTTTGAGGATGAGTCCGGTTTCCATTTCCATGGAACGGACAAACTACATTTCTGGGCTAGTTCAAATCCACGCAAATACATAGCGTCACGTATCCGCCATAGCGCCAAACGGATGATCTGGGCTGGAATTACTGGTCAGAAAATCGTTAAACTACTTTTTGTTTCTAGGAACGTGAAAGGTAATTTGTTTTATATTACACAACCCTTACTTTTGCTGTCATAATCGTACAAGGAATTGCTCCAGACTTGCGTACTTCCACAGTTGCAGACGGACGGATTTCGCAGTACCATATGGTTACAGCATGATGGTACGCCAGCGCATTATGTTCAGTCGGTGCGAGAATATCCCCACGAGGAATTCAGCCAACGTTGGATCGGTCGTGGAGGTCCCATCGAGTGTCCCGCACGGTCACCCGATTTAAACCCACTGGATTGTTTTCTGTGGTGATATTTGAAACGAAGGGTTCACAGAAACAAGCCGATATTACTTGAGCTATTGCAGCAGAAAATTGTGAATGAATGCCATGTCATCATCACCGTGACGTTGCAGAAAGTGCTTACTAACTGCATCAAACGATTTCTGTACTGTAGTCAGAATGCAGGTGGACACTTCTAACATCTCCTTCCATGATATCTATGTTCGTCTAACCCTGCTTCTGTAAATATATCATCGATTGCACCTGAGTTGAAGACTAAATTGGTCTCCGGACGAATGGTGCCAATGATGGGTCGGGACCAAATTAATGCTGTGAGTATTGCCTGCTTCTTCAGCAGACTACGCCACTCCGAACGCCGTGATAATTTGGGGGTACCCGATGCGTAGATTAGAGCCTACATATTGGCGCCGCTGGTGCAAATGTCGTCCAATCCACATAGGAGCCATAAATAAAAGATTATTGGGGTCTCCGATACGTCGTTTATTGACAAATTAGTTATCGATCATGGTGCTATTGCACACCGAGCTTCTTGATTGTAGCAAAGGCCTCTGTTTGGGTACCATGCAGCTTACTAATCAGTGTCAATGCGCCTGTTCTATGCAACGTCCGCGATTCATATTTTGCTCCGTCATGTCTACGTTTGTGGGCTGCAACCCGGATGACCGAGAGACTTGGTCAGACAGGTATTTCAACATGGCATTTGATAATTTTACTGCAAAAGGGATGGACTTATCGTTTTTAACACAGTAGTTCCTCTCTCCGTACACATGATTTGGGTTGTTTAGAATCAAGTATGCCATTATCAGGTCGCCGCGTACTCAGTGATACCGTCAGCTAAACACTCCCAAACGTTCCAGCCTTTGCTCGTATAATAGATTGCTCGTTCTGGTGACGTATTTAGATGTTCGAGGTTGAGGCCGCTCAAAAGTAGTAAGCTCGTGCTTTAAACATAGTTTCCAAGTCTGAATTGCGTATTCGACATGGAGGCGAACATAAGCACAGAGCATCTGTCAGAAAAGGAAGATGTTGAATTGTCCGAATGTCCGTCTCAGCAGCCCGACGTGTTGATTACCGGGTTCCGATGCGTTGTCGGATTGCTGGGAAGATCGCTGCAGTACTTGCGTTCCGAGCATCTAGCAGTACGTACTCTGGTGTCGTATGGAGCGTACCTTGTATTTTCTCACCTTGAAAATCTGCGGCTTTTCGTTTGACCACTGCTGCACCTTGTCCAAGTCATGCTGCAACATATCCAGATCGGCCTACAATTGAATCTTGCGCCATATCTTGATGTCGTCAGCAAACATTAGAAAAATTGAACCGAGCGTCCGTGCCAGGTTGTTGATAAATAACAAAACAATCGTGGCCCTAGAACAGAGCCCTGAGGCACACCATATTCGACGGATCATGGACAACACAGCTTACTACTGCTTATGCTATGCCTAACTTCCATGCTAACCCAACCGCTCAACCTCCACTCACAGATCACCTCACCTCCCCTCCTTCACATATGTGTTCTCTTATGTCTTCTATGGTTACCGCCATAAACGACCCGCCTCTCGCAACTGATGGAAGCAACAGCCAAACTCCCGGTTTTCAATACCCTGCGATCGCAACCGCCTCTTACCCCACTGAAGATCCAGCTCTTCATCGACCTGGTTCTCCATTCATCCTCGCAACGTTTAATGTTCGAACTTTGATGCAGATCGGACGACAAGCATGTCTGGCCCGTACTCTTGAAACGCTTTCGGTAGACATCTGTTGCCTTTCAGAGACCAGATTACAAGACTCTAGCGCTGTGAATATTTTCCGCTGGTTGCAAAGTGCGTGATGCAAACTCTATGGGGCGCAACGTTTGTTCATTCCACGGTGGCACAGGACAGCACCCACAAATAAAGGCGATGTGTTACACTGGAGAAGGAGGTGCTTCCTAGATTCATAATGAACTAACATTGGTGAGGGAGCGGGGGTATGTTTGGCTTTGGTTAACGTACTGATTTGCCGAGGTCCCCAAGACCATTGCATGTTTTTATGTGGTAACTCAGTTAGGGAAGATAACACAGTAGATGCATCAGTTAAGTAACGGTGGCAATGAGATAGTATACCTAGTAACGAACGAAGCTCATCAATGTCTCTCGATTCAGGGCTTTCCACAATGGGTTTTATCTTGTCATCTAGAACATGTAAACCGACCCTATCAAGCCTATATCCAAAGTAGCACACAGATGAAGAAAGGAATTCACACTTACATTTTCACAATCTAAGTCCACTTCTTGCTAATCGTTCAAGCACAACAGCGAGTGTTCGAAGGTGTTCTGCGTCGAAGCGTCCAGAAATGAGAATATCATCCAAATACGCACACGTGTAGAGTATATCCAGTACTAAAACATCAATAATCCCGCGAAACATTCTGGGGCAGAATTGATGCCAAAGGATAAACGGGTGTATTGGTAAGGTCCCGCATTTGTAGTGATAGTAGTGAGTTCTCGAGAAAACTCGCCAAGCTCTAGTTGTGAAGTTGCATGACTGAGATCAAAATTGGTGAAATTTTCACTACCTGCAAGTGTAGCATACACCTCTTCAATGCGGGGTAATGGATATCTGACTACCATGGAACATTGGTTGGAGGTCATCCTGTATTCGCCGCCCATTCGCACGGGGCCATTCGGCTTAGACACCGGTACGATTGGCGTCCCCCAGTTGGAAAATCTCACAGGCATTATAATTCGCTGAGTTCGTAAGCGGTTTAATTCTTCTTCAGCTTTGGGCCTTATGACACACTGTAGTGTTCATGCTTTGATGAACTTAGGCTGGGCACTTCCTGTCAATCTAATTGTGGCTTGAAACTCTTTTAGCTTCCCGAACTCCCCTGCAAAACTTTTACGTGTTGTTCCAAAATTACCTCCGACCCAATGACTTCAATGACAGTCTTAAGAGTAGTACTAGTAGTATTCGTAGTAGTAGTAGTAGTAGTAGTAGTAGTAGTAGTAGTAGTAGTAATAGTAGTAATTACAACGGCCTAATTAATAGACATACAGCCAACAAAACCCATGGACAGGAGTAGATGAGGGGCGGAGTCGCCGCATCATAAACAGCGTGGCATGTAGTTGAAGGTGAGCAACACACTTCAATTGCTGTGCCGCAGGAAGAAAGGAACATTTGACAAAAGATAGCACAAAACGATTTTAGTTTATTTTTCATAAGCCTTTTTTTCTATTTTTGCTCATTTTTAATATTTGAAGTATTAAACATGTGAATCAATACAAATCCATACACAATTTTTCCACTGGTTCCGGTTAAAGGCCATGTCTTCAAGCGTATCAAGCCATTGGCACTCGTCATCCTTGGGTCCTATCCTGGAAGACGTACGGGTTCAACGGCGGCTAGACGCAACGTCAGCGATTTCATGTGCCGTCGCCAAGTGGAGGGCTGACCACCACGCGGTCGCCTCCAGCCAGGTCCTTGACGAGCAAATAGAGCGCGACACAATAGACGCACATTTGCCATGCGAAGGACGTGACGGAGCCATCTCAACTGTCGCAGCAAAACCAGTTTGTTGAAGGGAATACGCGCATTCCACAAGATGCGAAGTCGAAGGTCATCACTGTGAACTCAATGTTGCCATCATACACGAGCGATCCTCCTTAAACAACCGTCGTCAAAGGCAAAGGACAGCGTATGTCTTCCACCTGAATTGGCCAATACGCGTTCCCACACAACAATACTTAACGAACAGGCGCACTGTGAACACAGCGATTTAGCGATAATGAGGCGTCACGACGACGCCACAAATGCCTCAGATTGACAAATGCTGATCGGGCTTTAGCGATGCGAAGTGAAACTTCCTTACTGATAATGTCTCCAGCAGAAACGCAGCTCCCAAGCTAGACGAAACTCTCTACCACTACAAGGTGTACACCTTCAACAGTGAGCACGAGAGCAAGTGTAGACCAATCCTGGAGAAACACTTTACACATTCATGGGTGAAGATCAAGCCATACTTAGGTGCTTCAACCGCCAAACTATCCAGAATGAGTTGCATACCCTGATGATCGTCACTAAGTTAGGCGATATCATCAGCACAATCTAAGTCGGTCACGCGCTCACTCGGTAGAAGCTCTGGGCCAAAATGTTAAAAAGGTCTAGAGCACTTGACAGAACAGCATCGATTGCGAAGTTGGATAGGAATGGGGACATAGGGCCGCCCTGACGCACACCGATATTGACAACGAAATGCGAGGAAAGCTTGCCATAGATCCTCACTCTGCCGGATGTATGAAGGTAAAGTGCTCTTAAGATGGCGGTATACTTCTCTGGCAGCCCGGTCTTTAGCAAGCAACGCGAAATAGCAGGTCGAATAACGGAGTCAAATACAGTACATATGTCTAAAATTGCAGCGATAGTGGGCCTGTAATAAATGTAGCGATGTTCGAGGAGGAGGACAATGACATCCGACTTTTTAGTAGCAGTCAGGAGTTGATGTAGCTCCCGATAGAAGTCGTCCTTGACCGAGCCACTGCTGCAGTCGGTTGGAGAGTACGCGGATACCACAAACAAGCTGCGTCTCTCTTCGCGACTCCTGTTGATTCTACATGAACCCCGAAGCCGAACTTCGCATAGTCGGCTGTTACTCGGGAACGAGTCCAGTAGTGCCGCCTCGGCCTTGCCACTTAGTGCTATACCTACATCAGCCAAACACGCTGAGGCTGCTTCTGGATCTCCAGAAAGACGCTGGTGATATCTGTCTTCGTGATCAGTGGGGGATAATAATGTAAGTACAGTGGTGGGGTCTTGCAATCTGGTTTCCGAAAAACAGCAGACGTCTATATCGAGGGACCCTAGGGTGCGCGCTAGACCGGCTTGCTGTCCAATCGGCATGAGAGTCCAAACATGAAGCACGCCAGACGGAACGAGGTCGAAGATCAGTGCTCAGTGGTATAATGCGGATAAAATAGCCGAAGCATGACATGTCCAGCCGGTTGATCGGTTTGGGGTGAGGAAAATAGATGCAAGCATGGTAATAGGAAACAGTGAACATCTGCAAATTGCGAAATTTCCGATTACAGCGTTCGCGCCCGTTTTAGATACTATCCAAGGTTATCATCTGTGGCTTCCAAGCAAAATGGAGGTGGGTTGGTTGGCTTCTGTTTTTCAGCTGTTTGTATGGGTCGTTTGGATTACGTGATATGGTGTAGTATGGCAAGTGCACTGCTTTGAACACGGCTAACGTGCGAGTGCAATAACAGGTTATGAGAGGATATTCCACATGTGGCAAACGCGCAGCGGCAAGACGTCTCTTCAACACTCCATGGACTGTACTGTTCTACCACTTTGAGATGATGACCTCTCAGTTGGATGTTGTGACTCAGCTTCAATAGGTGATGGCAGTGGTGAGGAGTGTTGTTTAATATTTAGTAAATCTTGATTAGGTCACCACGCAAATGCGATAACGTCTAGTAAAATTGCCAAGCTCTCTGAGGCGCTGTTCGTATGACAACTGGCGCAGCCCCTTGACATTTTTGGTCGTCCCACGTTGTGGAAGCTCCAAGGCCGTGAGATCCCGCTTTAGCCATGGGTACCACGCTTGAATTGCATATTCAACATGAGGGCGTTTATAAGCGGGAAGTATTTGGAATTGTCCGAAAGCTCTCTCGAAAAGTCCAACGATTTGGATCACCTTTTTGGATGCCTTTGTCGGCTCCGAATAGCCGAGGGCTTCCTAGACCAACACACCGAAATCCTATTCGAGAGAACAGTGTTGCAGATCCTGGTCCCCCAGCTTATATGTGTGAACTATTCGGTGTCTTAAATACAGCATTCGACATTTAGCCACCTTGAAGACAAGGCGATTTTGGACCGACCATACATAAAGTTTGTCAAGGTCGAGTTGAAGCTGGTTACGGTCTCCAGGAGCTCTGATCACTCGCCAAACTTTGATGTTATCCACGTAGACTAAACAGTTAACGCAAGTTGACTCACTAGATCGTTTATGAAGACCAAGAATAGACGGGGACCGAATACCGAACCCTGTGGCTCTCCGCATTCGACGTGAATTGGGTCTGACATGGATTCACGTACCCACACCTCCAGACGCCTGTGTAAGAGATAATTGCAGATCCACCCGAGGAGATGGCCACCAAACTCACATCCTTGAAGTTTGGCGATAAGGATGTGATGGTCCAACCGGTCGAATGCCTTAGAGAAAGCAAGGTAGACCACATCAACTTCTGCCCCAGCGTCCACAGTTTTGGTACAGCCCTTTTGTGCTAACAATAGCTTGATTGTGCACGACCGATTCTGGCGGAAGCCGTGTTGCTACTGAGCAATGTAACCAAAGCCGTCCAGATAAGACGTGAGTGCGTCGGCAATGATAGCCTCCATAACTTTTGAAAGAACTGGCAGTAGAGTCATTGGACTATAATTAGCTAGGTCGGAACGGCTACCTCCTTTGTAAATGGGAGTTATTATTCCGTGTTTCTACATTGCAGAAACGTGCCGCTCGTCAGGGCAGTGTTGGAACAGCCGCGCCAAAGTTTTAGCAAAAATAGTAGCGGTCACATCAAGCGTCTTTGGGCGGATGTCGTCAATTCGTGGACAGGCATGCAGGGATAGCAGCTTCTCATCACAATGGCTTCCGTAAAATTTCTAAGAGTGAGTCCTTGTGTGGGCACCAGAAATTCCTAAGATTCAGGTGACCACGGAATGCAATGAAACCTTAGTGCATCTTGTTGTTGCTGGACATTCGACACTTCTTTAGCAGTCCGTGTTAGACCATCCGCTGTTTGAAGAGGGGGAAATCCAAAGTTGAATTTGGGGACCCGTTTTGTGCCAAGCTTTGATCATGGATCTAAGTAGCGTAGTGGTCAGGGCGTCAGCCGTGAACTAATAGGCTCTGAGTTCTACCACAGTTCAGGCTATCGCCACCTGACAAGTTCAAACCAGGACGAAACTGCGGTAGTGGTGTGCCAGTGTTGGGATGAGCAACGCCCACATATTTCCACTCCAGAGGGAACTCCACTTTTCACCTTGCGGACGCTGTTCACGTGTTTGTACAGAAGCTTAGGATTTGAAGTTAATCACTCCCCTAAAGCATGTTGATAAACCACTTTGTTCTCGAGCACTAATTGAGTACAGTGGTTACGCTGGATAACATAGGCCTTCCAGATACTCGGACTCGGATCGGTTTTGTAGGTATACCACGCCGCATTGCGCATCATCATGCGGTTGTGTGTCCTAATCCGGATAAACGACGCCATGTTTCTCGAACTGATAGTTTTGGTTTTCCGTGCCCCACTAACAAGGGTGTTAAAGTTACTGACGAAATGTTCCCAGGCAATATCGAGTACATCCTCGGTTAGGAAACTCCAGTCGGTCGCTTCAACGAGTCGGGTTAAGGTGTCGTAACTAGTTACGATTCACGTTGTTTGAGTCCGGTCCTCAGGATATTCAGCGTAGCAAGTGTACATGAACTGCAAAGTCGCATGATCACTGCGGCCTAGAGGAGTATGGATTATCCCTCTCTCGATCATCAGTTCTTCATTAGTGCATATTCGGTCCAATATGGATGGCCTGTTATTTCCCTGAATCTGGTAGGCGAAGTGACGTGGCCATAAAGCGGAAAATCTGAGACAAGATCTTGCAGGTCCGCTTTGAATTGCTCTCCTGCTGTGGCCTGCGATTCTGCAGCGTGTAAGTTAAAATTGCCGACGACTAGAACGTGACTGTACTTCCTGTTTCTCACCTGCCTCAATGCGGCCACCAAGTTGCAGTCCATCTCAGGTGTAGACGATGGTAGGCGGTAAACAACAACCACTAGGCCAAGATCGTCCGCTCTCAGCCGGAAGCTGCACCAAATGGTGTTAAGTACATCGGTTTTCGAATCATGTAAAGGTTCGCACTGCAGATTGTTACGAAACTAGAGTGCTACACCACCACCTTTGCTGGCTCGATCATCCCGGACAACGGACAAACCTGTTAGCGATATTCCGGCATCCGTTATCTCACAGCGCAAGCAGCTGACGCGTGTCGTAGTCTTAATTCGGCCAATTTTCTAAGTAGATCTTGGGCATTTGTTTATATGCATGAGAGTTTCTCGGACACCAAAAGTGTGTCGGGTGGAATGGATGAAGAAAGTGAATTTACGCCGACCGATGCAAGGTCGGCGGCTAATCGTTTTTGGATGGGTTACAGACTCACTAGAAGAATTCGGCAAATATTCATATAACAGATGCCCCGGATCCCGGTGTTCGCTCGTGCTCTACAGTGTCCCTCCGGATGTTATGGCTACTGTTGAAATCGTCACCGATTCAGGTCCTACAGTTGGTGGTTTCATAGAATATTGCGCCTCCACTGAGTTGTCATTAGAAGGTGGTGGTGTTCATGCAGTTTTCAGACGAATTTCTGTTGGTAACCTGTTACGGAATTTAGTCAACGTCTCTAGCAGCGTTTGTGCTGTTAGTTCTGATTGCAACACGTTTCAACAGCCTAGGACCGCACCCTTATATTTCGGTGATAAGGGGATCCTTGTCAATGAGGTGGCCACGACATTTTTTGAGAGAAAGCCTCACGGATGTAGTGCCATTGCTCCCGGTTGTGTATCTGCGTCTCGTCGGAAAAGGAATCAGTGAGCTCAGGAACACCGACGGCAAGCACAGTTTTCTTTCCTTAATTTTTAGGTTCTCCAGCTGCATGTTCCTTCCACGGGATTTCAGATAGTAAGCGCAGTCCATTTTAGGCGTTGCGGAGTCGATTTGCAGACAGCAGAATGGTCTCTATCTCATCTGACGATTTTACTGTTACCCGAAGTAACCGAGGTTCACCGTAGTGCACTGCGTTTGGGTGACGCGAGATGCTTTTTTAATGTCGTGGGATCAGCATGGAAACTTATTGCCATACAGATGGAACTCCATTGCTGTCGATCGTCTGTCAGCCTACCCTTACTTGTATTTGATTTGAATTCGGGTTCTTAGTGCACACAAGGTTTAAAGCACCATGGTTGCGCCTGGTGGCTATTGGTTTTGGAGCCTTAGTTTTCGGTGCTTATGGTGACTTTTTGAACGGCACTGATGGGGCCATCCGTGCTGCTACATCTTAGTTTTCTCTAGTCCGGCCACCAAGGCTACTGGTGCTATTTTCGGTGTTTTCCTGGCGGTAACCAACGCGTACATCATCTGGTTCCTCACTTTGTCTGGTTGACTACAGCTTAGGGTCCCCTATATAGCGAACGAACTACTAGATGAAACACACTGTACAGAAGTTGAAGCAGGCACACTGCCGGGAGAGAGAGAAGGAAGTTGGTACTGATTGAGACTGAGTCGTTGGGGTAATATTGGGAGGCCTGAACCTCTTGTTCGTTCTGAATGGGGAATTCCGGGTGTTATTTTCATATAAAGTGCAGGTCCGTTTCCTCTAATAAGTTTAACCCTGGCGCACACCAGTTGCTCAACTGCTTCCGTTAGTCTTTCATACTTCTTCAGTAGCACAGTTAGACAGCTAACAACTGGGATAGCACTGCATACTGGGCAGAACCAAAACGCCCCTGTTGTGTTATTGTACCGTCTCGCTTTTATCATCTCCGCCCCAAGGGATTTTGTGTGATAGGCTTTCAAGCAACTGTTGCAAACCAGCCCACTCTTCAACAATTTAACACACAACCCACACTTGTTCTTAACGTGAAACATGTTCGCCTAGGGCGTGAAGTTTTAAGGTCGCGCGTTTGTCGGATGATCCCTTAGTGCTGCTTCCCGCGTCAATGATAAGCGTGAGTCAGTGCGGCGCGCCCGCTGTCAGCGGTGATTCCTTTGAAGCACAAGTTGCAGTGATGGTCGTTTGATCGATAGATGTTAGGCCCGGCTGGTTTGGGGATCTAGTAAATAAAC